TCCTGCCTGCCTGATTTCCCCTAACCTCTCTGCCTGCATCCTGATCTCTCCCCTAACTGCTCTCCCCTGCTGGCCTGATCTCACCCCTAACTGCCCTCCCTTGCAGGCCTGATCTCACCCCCAACTGCCCTCCTCTGCCGGCCAATTTGATTCTGATCAGTCTGTTTCTATACCAGTCAGTGTCAAAAGCTCCACCTCCTAGGCAGCCATTGGTGCCTCATAGTTCACCCAGATTAGGTTCTGATTGGTCGGTTCCTATGCCAGTCAGTGTCTCTGGGCCTATGAATGGGCCTGATCAAAGAGGCAGGGCTGATCAGCAGCCCCAGCGAGAGGGGGCCTTGAGAGAAACAGAGGCATGGCTGGTGGCGAAGCCTGGAGAGAAAGAGAGGCAAGGTCTGATCCACAGCCGCGCTGGAGGCTGTGGATCAGACCTTGCCTCTCTCTCTGCAGGACTCTCTCTGGGCCTGATCTGCATCCCCCTTGGCAGTCTGTGCTGGGATACTGTGCTGGCACCGCTGCAGTCAGTGCTGGGTCGCCATGGCAACCCAGCACTGACTTCCAGTATTTGGTTGATCCTTGGTCCTTATGGACCTTAGGGACCCTGGCTCTTTATATATATAAATAGACTAGAGGCCCAGTGCATGGATTCATGCACTGGTGGGGTCCCTCAGCCTGGCCTGTGGGGATCAGGCTGAAACCGGCCCTGTGCACTGATATGTCCATGGCATGTCTGGCCCATCTTGCCCAGTCCCAATTATGACTGATCGGGGCTGGCAAACCAGGGAGGGACCACGGGAGGTTGGCCAGCCAGAGAGAGACCATGGGGGTGCTCCAGGGCATGTCTGGCCCATCTCACCCAGTTCCTATCAACTGGACCCCAGCAGCAAGCTCGCCTACTGGTCAGAGCGTCTGCTCCCTGGTGGTCAGTGCACATCACAGTGACTTGTCGAACGGTTGAAGGAATGGTAAGATACTTAACATATTAGGCTTTTTTATATAGGATTGTTAGTCATAGCAAAAACTTGAAATGATATGAATTTTTCCCCATATTGGAATGATTAAATGGCACATCCACTGCTATCTTGGTTTATATGTAACATTGATTATCATGCAGCTATTTACATGGATTAGGTTGACACATATGTGTTTGTGTATGTGTAGCAATCTCTTTTATAATATGTGAATGTGTTTGGAGCTACTCTATATACAAAATAAAATGTACATAAATTTAAAAGTCTATTTGTTATATTTGATATTAGAAAAAGAAAAAAAAAACCATTAATTTTATTTTAAATACATTTATTTCTTTTTAAATATTAGTGATTGATTATTTTGTAACTTAGACCACTGGAAAAAAGGCAATTAAGTATTTCTATTTTTTAATTTTATATATGGTCAAAATAATTTGGTTAGCATACTTACAATAATAATATTGGTAATTATTAATACTTATATTTTACTTATGAGCAACTTGAATTTTTAAAATGTTAAATGACTTAGCCAATGACACAAACTAAAAAATGCTGGTACCAAGACTGAATAACAGGTATTTATGTTCCAAATACATGTACTTTTTAATTCATCCCATTGTTTCTTCACTGTGTGTGTTGACTTCTTTAGACTTTCAATTGGGCGATTGAAATTTGCTATACATTGAGTCCCTATATCAGTGATGGCGAACCTTTTGAGCTTGGTGTGTCAGCATTTTGAAAAACCCTAACTTAACTCTGGTACTGTATCACATATAGAATTTTTTTGATATTTGCAACCATAGTAAAACAAAGATTTATATTTTTGATATTTATTTTATATATTTAAATGCCATTTAAAAAAGAAAAATAAACCAAAAAAATGAGTTCGCATGTCACCTCTGATGTGCGTGTCATAGGTTTGCCATCACTGCCCTATATGATCCTTCCAGGTGTAAACCCAGAAATATGGTGAGTCTTAGGCATTTCAGAGAACCACAAAGCTGAGTGGACTCTTAATAGCTTAACAACTTTCCTTTTTAATCAAGAAAACTTAGGAAGTAGAACATTAATTTTCATCAAGGTTTAGTGGTTAAGATCAAGTGCTTTGGAGCAAGATATAGCATCAATTCACAACTAACTCATTTATTAACAAGGTGTCATTTACTACTGAACACCACAAAACCTCCCACTGTTATCAAGCATTCAGGCCCCAAAATATCTTTAGTTCATCTATGCCTTCCAATAATGCAAACGACTATTATATTTTGCTTTGGCTATTGTCATAGTCTCCCAAAAGTTGAACCTCTTTTCACTCTATAAGTAAAGGTGCTTTCCTTTTTCAAATTCATTCTTTGTAATACCACCTACTTTTAAAGTATCAAATTAAGTTACTCTTCTGCTTAAAAGACCTCCATGAAGGATATGTATAAGAAAAATGTACATGCTTTACCATTGTCTGCAAAGCCCTTCACAATCTAGTTCCTACTTGATGCTCTGGTCTGATCACTCAAACCCACTCACTAGTCCATAGTTAAAATGTTTGATTTAAGTTCCTCAGGTAAGCCAAGTTATTTCATGGTTCAAGGTCTTTCTCCTCACTTTTTTCCATACCTGGAAGTCTTTTGCTTCACTGTTCTCATAACTGGTGCTTTTTTACTCTTTTGATTGTAGATTTAACTGTGCTTCCTCACAGTTCCAGACGTCAGAAGTCTGAAATGGGTTTTCCTGGGCTAAAGTAAAAATGTCAGCAAGGTGGCATTTCTTCTGGAGAATCTAGCAGAGAATCCATTTTCTTACTTTTTCCAGCCTCTGGAAGCTGTTTTCACTCTTTGGCTCCTGTCTGCTTCTTACATCTTGATAGCTAGCAGTTTAGCAGCTTCCAATCTCTCCCTAGCTTTGACCCTCACACCCTCCTTTTATAAGGTTGCCTGTGATTACATTGGGCCCCTGCAGACAATCCAGGATAATCTTCCATCTCAAAGTCCTTAATTTACTCACACCTGAAAACTTCTTTTTTTTTCATGTAAAGTAACATTTTCACAGGTTCTGGGCATGAGGAAGTGTACCACTTTGATGGACATGATTCTGCCTGCCACATATTTGATCACTGACCTTATTTTTTGGCTTCTCCCATTACCTGTAAAACCACCCAATATACTATAATTTTTATTTCAGATATTAAATTTTCTCTACTAATATTCTCTGTTTATATTTTTCTTTACATCATTTTACATATTTTTAATTTAAATTTTATTTTTCAATTTCAGCTTATATTCAATATTATTTTCTATTAGTTTCATATGTACAGCATAGTAATTAGACAATCATATACTTTACAAAATAATCCTCCAATGTTTTCAACACCGACCAGGCACCATACATAGTTATTACAATTTTATGGACTATATTCCCTATGCTGTGATTTGCATCCCCATGATGGTTTTGTAACTGCCAATATGTACCTCTTAATCCCTTGCCATTTTTCACCCAGTCCCCCCAAACCTCTTCCCCTCTGCCAAAACTTTTAACATAATTATTAAGTCCTTGTCTACTCATTTTGATACCTGGATGATTTTTTACCATTGATTGTTTATTTATTTTGACTATGAGTCATATTCTATTGTAAACTTGAGTAACATGTTTAGAGAATTTGGATTCTCTCATCTTCCTCTGAAGAATGTTGGCATGTGTTCTGACAGAGAGTAAAATGACTGACTAACCACACTGATTTCCAGAAGCTTGTTTTATACTTTGTTAAGATGAGATAGCTTGGGTTTTACAATTATTCTTAAGATGAATCCTTTATTCCTTGCATATAGATTGTCTCCCTAAAATGTGGTTTTTCTGTGATTTCAATAGAAAGCCTGGAGTTTTTGCTTGTTCTCTCTAATGTGGTGAGACTCAAACTTCTCCCCTTTACTTCCTGGCAGTGGGGAGCAGCTGGAATTCTGCTCATCCTTTTCTAATTGCATGCTGGTCTTTTCTGCTTGGCTTGTCTGTGTATTCCTTGAACACGTTGAGTTCAGAGGACAATTAAGGATTTGAGAGGAATCTGTGTGAAAGTATGGTATCCATCCTGCTTTGGCTATTTCCCTTCTTAGATCAATCAATCTCTATCCATTTTTTCCAGCTATTTTAATCAGTCCAAACCTTCATATTAATTTAATGGCTCTCAGTGAACCATATTCTTCTTTATTCATGACCTTGTGTACATCAGTCTCCTTTTATCTATACTGGTGTCATTACTGCTTTGTCCAATAAAATGTGGAGGAAGTGATGTTTTAGCAGCTTTAACTCTAGGCATTAAGAACATTTTCCAAGTTCTATTTCTTTCTGGGGATGCAAATTACCATATGAGAATTCAACTACTCTGAGACTGTCTTATATAACACTAGGGGCCCAGTGCATGAATTCACGCACCTTGAAAGCAACTGTGGGCCGCGAGGCTGCAATGGGCATAGGGGCGTGTCTCTGCCCATCCTCCACACCCTTGCTTGGCCCCTTCTGCCGTGGCCCCCAGTCCCCTCTCTGCTGGCATCTCTGCTCCCCCTGCCATTGCTCCCATGCACTGGCAGCACCAACCCTGCTCACACCCGCTGACAGCACAGAGCGATTGGGACTGGTGCCAGTAGCGGGTGTGAGTAGGGCTGGCACCGTCAGTAGTTGCGAGTGGCAGCTGCTTCCCTGATGGCCTCTCAGGAGCAGGGGCAGATGGAGAAGCCCTGAGGGGCGATCAGGGCCAGCAGCCGCTGCTTGCACCTGTTGACTGTGCCGAGCGATTGGGACCGTTGCCGGGTGCTGGCAGTGGGTGCAAGCAGTGGCTCCAGCACCAGCTGTGGGTATGAGTGGGCTGGCGCTGGAAGTGGGTGTGAGCGGCAGCTCTGGCACCAGTAGCAGGTGTGAGGAGGCAGTCGCCAGCAGCGGGTGCAAGAGATGGCTGCTGGCCCCAATCACCCATCAGGAGAGGAGGGGATGGAGAAGCCCTGAGGGGTGATCAAGGTTGGCAACCGCTGCTCGCACCTGCTGACTGTGCCATACGATCGAGACCAGCCAATCCAAGCAGCAGCTCCAGCACTGGCTGCAGGTGCAAGTAGGGCCAGCACTGGCAGTGGGTGCAAGCAGAGCCAGCGCCAGCAGTAGATGCAAGCACTGGGTGGGACTGCGGCGCAAGGAGCAAAGAATTTTCAGTAACCACCAGAGGCTTGCCCGATGACAGCCACCGACCAGCACCCCACCTTGGTTCAGCATCCCCGCTCACCTGCTCCACCATCCCGCCACAGCCAATGCCCACCATGTTCCACACACTCCCTCTGGTGGTCAGCGCATGTCATAGTGACCGGTTCTTCCATTGTTCGGTTGTTCCGGTTGTTCCGCTGTTGTGCCTGATTGTGCCCCTAACTGCCTGCTCCCCTGAGCCAGCCTGTTCATCCCTTAATTGCTTGCTCCCCTGTATTACCCTGATCGTGCCCCTAACTGCCTGCTCCCCCACACTGCCCTGGTTGCTCTCTAACTGTTTGCTCCCTTGTGCTGGCCCAATTGTGCCCCTAACTGCTTGCTCCCCTGCTATCCTGATGGCCCCCAACCGCCTCTGCCTTGGCCCCCACCACTGTGCCTATCTGCCTCTGCCTCAGCCCCCTGCAGGAGGAAGTGGAACCTCTAGAAGACGTCAGGTCAACCCAGTCTAATTAACATATTATCCTTTTATTAGTATAGATGATAAAATTTGCTAGATGAAGAGGTGACAGGGAGAAGAAACAAGACCCCAGCCTGCAACTCTAGCTGCACTCCCAGCTGAGAATGAACAGCCAACATCACAGTCATGTAAATGAGTGATTTTATATGCAAATCCTCTAGCTCCATTAGAGTTGTCTCAGGTGACCCTACATTAAGCAAAGGTAATCTGTTCCCACCAAATCTTACCAAACTTGTAGAATTTATTTTACCTATTCTTATTTAAAAAATAAATAATATATATTCACACTTTTGAAAAATAAAACAACACTGAACTACATAAATAAAAATTGATATTACTTATATGCTATTCACACACAGCTACTTGCCTGCCAACCTTACAGATGAAGCCAAGGCTGTGAGGGAAGCCCGGGTCTCGGGTGCCTGCTGGCCGCCAGAGGGAAGCCAGTGCCGGCAGTCAGGGGAAGGAAGGCCTACTCCTACATGAATTTTGTGCATCAGGCCTCTAGTAGGTATATAAAACATTTACCTTATTTGATTTAACTGTTGTATTATTTTATCTTATACTTTGTGCTAAGTATGTGCCAGAATTTAAGGATGGGCATATGGGCATTATTAACTTTGGGAGTCAGTAACACTGCTCTAATTAACTTCCTTGTTAAGGACATGTACACATACAAACACACATATTTATTTAAATATTTTTGTATGATAGATCCCTACATGTGGAACTATTGATTTGAGAAATTTAATGTTAAGGGTTTATTTCTGATTGAGGTATATTTGACAAATAACATTGTATAAATTTAAGGTGCAAAGCATGCACATTTGATACACTTATGTATGTAATATGGTTGCCATTGTAGTGATAATAATGTAATGTATAGTAACTCTATCACATTACACAATTATTATTTATTTCTAGTGATGGGGTTAATTAAGGTCTAGTTTCTTATCAAGTTTGATTATACTATATAGTATAACTCAAATGTGGAATCTAAAATAGTCAAATTTGTAAAAGTTTGTAAGACACAAACTTAGCAGGGATGGGAGGTGGGCAAAAGGACAGATATTTAGGGGCACAAACTTGCAATGAATAGTACATAAGTTGTAGAGATTTAATCCACAGTACCATAAATATAGACATTTTAATTTTTAAATATATTTTATTGATTTTTTTTTACAGAGAGGAAGGGAAAAAGATAGAGAGTTAGAAACATCGATGAGAGAGAAACATCGATCAGCTGCATCCTGCACACTCCCTATTGGGGATGTGCCTGCAACCAAGGTACATGCCCTTGACCAGAATCGAACCTGGGACCCTTGAGTCTGCAGGCTGACGCTCTATCCAATGAGCCAAACCGGTTAGGGCAATATTTTAATTTTTTAAAGTTTAGTTAGATACTGTAAGTTGCTGTTCATATTAAAGTCATGCTTAAGGGTCTTTAATATCACAAACTCTACAGTAAATATTGTGAATCTAAAATCTACTTTTGCCAATATTATGAGCAAAAGTGACAACGCACTTCCATTTCAGTTTGCATATTATTGATATTTAGTGAGTTATACTTATTTTTTATATTTAATTACTTACGTGCATTTCTTTTGCTGTGACTTGGTCATATATGAATTTTGTCCAATTTTTAATTTGTGGTTATAATTTTCTATTAATTTTTAAGAGTTTTTAGACAAATTATGTATGGCAACTCTTTGTCTCCTATATTTTTCAAGTATTTTCTCCAAATTGGTTGTGTTTTGTTTGTTTTTTTAATCCTATATAATTTTTAAAAGTTTTATATAATCAATGATACTATTCTATCATGGCTGTTGAAATGTACTTTCCAGGTTCAAGAAAATGGGGAGTAAACTGCATGTCTTGATGAGTTATATCAAGGTTCTGTAACAAATACTGGATCAGAAATATTGCTTTTGACATTTTTTGAAAATAAAATCTTCCACAAGTTGCATTTCAAAATCTGCTTTTAATAAATAGGTAGGCAGGTAGGTAGACAGATCACAAAACAGATAAACCGATAGATATATATTGATATTGAAAAGGAAGTTAAATTATAAATAATTTTCCCTCAGAACTTTGAATTATTTTTTCAATTCAGAATTGTTTTTCTGAGAGAAAACCTAATGCCACTTTGATTCTTTCTTCATTGTAAATAAACTAGGTAGTTTGTGTGTGTGTGTGTGTGTGTGTGTGTGTGTGTGTGTGTGTGTGTGTTTGCTTGTGATCTTGCTTATTTTTATTCTGCAGCTTTTTTTTAATAGTTGTACTATTATCTTTTTGTTTTAAAATGTCACCACATTGAGTCTACTTGTCTTTTTTTTTGTACTGTATCTTGTGGCCACTGTCAATGTGAAAGCAGGTCTTCCTTCAGCTCTGAACCATCTTACTCCTTTCATATGCTATTGTTATTGTTTTTAAATATACACAGGCTACATCCTTACTGGGACTTCATCTTGGGACTACCAAAATTTTTGTTTTGCATTTGGAGGGATACTTTCCATCTTAATTTCAAGATTCTATTCCTTTAAAAATTGTTCTTTATAAAAATGTGGAACTCGAGGCTAAAATTAATTTTACGTACACAAAAATACCAGTATACTCATTGCTTTTTTTTGATACTTCATGTCTCTTAAAAATATTTATATATGATTATGACAAAATGCCTAATTTTAACTCAAAAACTTGCCCACATTAATTTGTTTTAAAATGTTGTGTTTAGTTTTGGTTAAGTAAACACACACTTTGACACACCAGGCAAAATGTAAGTTCTATGGCAATTAGAAAGACATTCTGTCTGTTATGGCTCTGTTTCTTTGGCACAATCTTTCAGCAAAAATTTGATTACTTTTTCATAACTGAATTTTATAATTTTATGATTACTGTTTATTATTTCTTATCATAGTTTATGTTTGTTGTACATGAATGCTATATTATACTCTTTATCCATTTCTCGAAGTTATTGCTTATATTTATTTAAAACTTTTCTTTTAACTCTGTTCATTGGAAGATATTTTCTATATTTTCTCATTTAGACCCTTTCTAATGTTGCTTTTTCTCACAAGTAGGTGATTTTAGATTATCTGTTCTTTGTTTCTCTTGAGGTTCAATTTGAATAGTGCATTTCTTCAGCCAAAATAAAAATTTTGTTATGCCTTTTTAGAAGCTTTTTCTTGCATGTATTCTTGGTTGGGATTTATTCAGAACTCAATTCAATCTCTTTGCCATCTTATAATACTTCTTCATAATTTCTAATATATTCTTGAGGTTCTTTGAATAGTGCATTTCTTCAGCCAAAATAAAAATTTTGTTATGCCTTTTTAGAAGCTTTTTCTTGCATGTATTCTTGGTTGGGATTTATTCAGAACTCAATTCAATCTCTTTGCCATCTTATAATACTTTTC